AACTATTTGTTGCTGCAGCTCAGGGTTTGTGGTACCACAGCTTTTGTTGCACAAACCTCATGGATTCAGAATGGGACAATTGAAGAAAATATCCTTTTTGGTCTGTCAATGAACCACGAGAGATATAAGGAAGTTCTTAGGGTTTGTTGTTTGGAGAAGGACTTGGATATGATGGAGTTTGGAGATCAGACTGAAATTGGAGAGCGTGGCATCAATCTAAGTGGTGGGCAAAAGCAGCGAATTCAACTTGCCAGGGCTGTTTACCAAGATTGTGATATCTATCTACTTGATGATGTGTTTAGTGCAGTTGATGCTCAAACTGGTTCTGAAATATTCAAGGTGATAAGAGTTTTGAAATGATTTTCAAAATGGTTGTGATATCTATATCTTGAAAGTATTTAATGCTGTTTTAAGATGTCCTATTTCTCCAATTATTTGCAAAATTAGATGTGACCTGACGTTTGTAGTAGCTACAGTCACTGACATAATTTTCTCAGTTTGGTCCTCTTCTTCTCCATTTTCTTGTTATTACTGTTAAATGAGAACCAGAACACAAGCCTGCTACTTGCGAATGCCCATTTGTTAATGATGTATGATGCGTTTGTTGACATTTTATGTTGATCCCTTGGCTTCATTCCTTGTAGGCTCCAATTAACATGATTATTAAGCTTTGAGTGACATGCTTGTTAGTTGATACATATTGTTCTGCATTGACATTGTGATTCGTCTTTTTAGTTTCAATTGAAGTTGTGATATTCCAGTAGCCCTAGTTGTTAGTTTATCAGTTATTAAATGCTGTTTGACACTTTCCAGTCTCTCTTGCAGGAATGTGTTAGAGGAACCCTTAGAGAGAAGACCATTTTGCTTGTTACACACCAAGTTGACTTCTTACACAATGTTGATCTGATCCTAGTATGTCCTATGCTCATTTATCCTCCTCCTTTCCTAGGTTTTATCCTCCTCCTCTGGCATCATAGACTTGACCTCTTAATATTGAAACCAGGTTATGCGAGATGGCATGATTGCTGAATCTGGAAATTACAATGATCTACTTGAATCTGGGAAGGATTTCAAATCTTTGGTGGCTGCGCATGAGTCATCTATGGAACTTGTTGAGGCAGAAAGCTCCAAGCGCAGGAAAACTTCAGTTGATCAACCAACATCTCCTCAAGCATCTTTTAGTCCTACACAAGAAAACGATGACATGAAATCTCAAGAACAGACCCAATCTGATCGGGGAAATTCTAAACTTATCAAGGAAGAGGAGAGAGAAACTGGGAAAGTCAGCTTACATGTTTATAAACTATACTGCACTGAATCTTTAGGGTGGTGGGGTGTGATTGTGGTGTTGCTGATTTCTGTGTTGTGGCAAGGGTCATTAATGGCGGGTGACTACTGGTTGGCTTATGAAACATCAGGAAAGCGTGCTATGTCATTCAATCCTTCTGTTTTTATTGGGATATATGCTATTATAGCAGCTGGTTCCTTTGTGCTGATATTGATAAGAATTTTTTTACTTACATTCATGGGGCTTAAGACATCCCAAATATTCTTCAAAGGAATTCTTCACAGCATATTGCACGCTCCAATGTCATTTTTTGATACTACACCTTCTGGAAGAATTTTAAGCCGGGTAACGTTTTCTACACTTTCGGGTTGGGTTGTCCATTTTGGTGCCAAGCTGGAAAAAATAAAATCATGTCCATATGTACATTTAGCTACATTAGATTACATGGGGAAAAAACTAGATTACATAAAAGAAATGTTCAAAGTAACTGAACATGTTTCAATTACTGGATTCATTGATATGTTGTTTCATAAAATTTTGCAGGCGTCAAATGATCAGACTAATATTGATGTAGTTGTCCCACTTTTTACAAACTATTTCATTTCCATGTACATCACACTATTTGGGATCATCATCATCATATGTCAAAATGCTTGGCCAACCGTCTTACTATTGATTCCACTTGGCTGGCTGAATTACTGGTTTCGGGTATGTGCATCATTTATGGAGCTTAAAGGTTAAATTGTTTCAGTGTAACTAAGACTTTTAACCATTCTTTGGCAAGAGATAGATAATCAGTGCTAAGACTAAGTTATTCCTCATTTGGGTTGCAGGGGTACTATCTTGCAACATCACGTGAATTGACTCGGCTAGACTCTATTACAAAAGCACCAGTTATCCATCACTTCTCGGAAAGTATATCTGGAATTACGACAATCCGTTGTTTCAGGAAGCAGGAAAGGTTTTGCCAGGAAAACGTTAACCGTGTGAATTCGAACCTGCGTATGGACTTCCACAACTACGGGTGCAATGAATGGTTGGGTTTTCGTTTGGAACTCATGGGGAGCTTCATCCTTTGCATTTCTGCATTGTTTATGATCATGTTGCCGAGCACTATCCTCAAGCCAGGTGTATAATCTACTTAAATCCTTATTAATGACAAAGTACTAGTTTTTTTTGGTTATATTGATATAAAGGCATGACTCCCGATTTATCAGTTGGTGGTATTATTACCTGGGAAAATAAGGTTGTTAATAGGTTAAAACTGAAGACATAGTTTTCATCTTTCTTGACGAAATAGACTCGTAACTGGTCAACCGGATTATTAAACCTTTGAAATATCATAATATCTAGTATAATCAACCTCTTTTTCTTTTCTGTCATTTTAATGGGGTTTCTCAAGTTTATTAGTAAAGGAATTTTCAAAGATCAGGTTACAGAATTAATTACTTCATATAATTCTCAGTTGATTCCTGTTATCATTTGCTGCCTACAAAGTTTATAAATGGATGATACAACTGGAAAAAATAATGTCCCTTCCAGTCATCATTCTCCTTTGTCCTTGCTACTGCAATTAGCTTTTGCAATAGAGATGTTACTGATCTACACTTCGCTGCTCAGAGAACGTGGGGTTATCTCTCTCTTATGGATTGTCCCTCAACAGTGTGCTTTTCTGGGCAATATATGTCAGTTGTTCTTTGGAAAATAAAATGGTTTCAGTTGAGAGGATAAAACAATTTACAAATATACCATCAGAAGCAGACTGGAAGAAAGAAGATTGCCTTCCTTCTCCCGAGTGGCCAAACAAGGGCAATGTTGAGCTCATAGACTTACAGGTAGCTCAATCTGCATTTCTTCAAGTTTGTATGATGAATAGCTGCTTCATTAATATGGTATTCTGTAAGTTTCCAGAGATTCATTTGTATGTATTCTGAACAGGTAAGATATCGTCCCAATACCCCTCTGGTTATCAAAGGAATAACACTCAGCATAAAAGGGGGTGAGAAGATTGGTGTTGTTGGTCGAACTGGGGGTGGAAAATCAACTTTGATCCAGGTTTTCTTTAGGTTGGTGGAGCCTTCGGGAGGAAGAATCATTATTGATGGCATTGACATTAGCACTCTTGGGCTGCATGATCTTAGGTCTCGATTTGGAATCATCCCTCAAGAACCTGTTCTTTTTGAAGGAACTGTGAGAAGCAACATTGATCCAATTGGACAGTATTCTGATGAAGAGATATGGAAGGTAAAAAGAACTATTACTGTTAGTAGTTGAGTTTGGACCTCAAGCTAAATAGATTTCGCCCAGCATGTGCCATGGTTTTAACATTTTCTAGTATGCAGCATCTGTCGACTGTGGTTACTTCACTTTTCTAATGTGTGAATTTGTGATTCTGTTCCATACATAGAAACCATGCTTGCCGAGATAGGTTGTAGCGACTTAGTCCTTCTGTTTTTCTATAGTTAATACTCACGGATCCGTGAACTTATGAACCACAGAGCCTTGAGCGCTGCCAGCTTAAGGAGGTAGTAGCTGCAAAGCCCGATAAGCTGGACTCTTTAGGTACTGTAGCATAAATCTGATCAGTTGCTTCTATTTTGTTCTCAGTTGCTGTTATTAGTTATCAATGCTACAGCTGAAAGAGTACGAATTTTCACTGGTTAATGTTTTTAGTTGTTGATAATGGAGAAAATTGGAGTGTCGGGCAGAGACAGCTTCTCTGTTTGGGACGTGTAATGCTAAAACGCAGCAAACTTTTATTTATGGATGAGGCGACTGCCTCAGTTGATTCACAAACAGATGGCGTGATCCAGAAGATCATCAGGGAGGACTTCTCTTCCCGTACAATTGTAAGCATTGCCCATAGAATTCCAACAGTTATGGACTGTGACAGAGTTCTTGTAATTGATGCAGGTTTGTGCCTCTCCCACCCCTTAGTTCAGCCATGGTTCATCACATGCTTCATCTTTGTTTTCATTTATTTTTCGTTTCTTATTTCTTGAGCAAATAATTCCTCTGGGAACAAGTAGACTGTCAAAATGTCGCCATTTTGGCCTGCCTTTGGTCTGTTCCCGATTGCATGCTGCAGATTACCTAAATTAATCATGTCCTTTTTTCCTATGATTCTGTTGCGCTCCGACTTTGCCTGATCTGGGTTTATTCTTCATGATTGCACCTAATGGGGATTTCCTGCTTTCACCAAAGCTCGGTGAAATGATTCTTATTGTTTTTCTTTTTGGGCATTGAACAGGTAAAGCAAAAGAATTTGACAAGCCATCGAGTTTGCTGGAGAAGCCTTCTCTCTTTGGAGCATTGGTTGAGGAGTATGCCAACCGATCTTCTGAACTCTAGCTCTGATCCTAGCATTCTTGGAATGGGCTGAAGATTGATTCTTGTTGGTTGAATTATATTTTCCACAACTTCGGCTTGTTTGACACCTGAGTTTTTTGAAAATTTATCTAAAATTTTACTGTAGATCACCGTAAAAGTTGTAAAAAAACTTTTGGAAGATGAAATTTTTTTTTTTTTCATTTTCTTTCTTTCTTTTTTCTTTTTTTTTTCTTTTCTTTCCTCCCTTCCATTTCCCCCTCCCCTGTACCCTTTCCCAAAATTGCTGAAGCAGCAAAAGAAAACTTTTTTTTTTTTTGCATTTTTTTCCATTACCCTCCTCTCCCTCTCCCTCTTCCCCTCTTCTCCCTCTTTTGGCTTGCCGCTATACTAAAATCTTGTGAACAAGACTACATAAACTTGTTTGTTTGTGGTCCTCACTTCGACAATTATGCATTCGTATGGTTCAAACCTTGGGAAGGAAAACCAGACAAATCAATTGCAATCCTATATGTAAGCAGATTATTAATCACAATTCACAAGCACTAGAAATCAGTATGTGAAAACAATCGCAGATTGGCGGCGCTCGATGTTGACTACATATTCGTTCACTTGTAGACTTTCTGGTAGACTTGTAGAATCCATTGAGCAGGACGCATATTCGTTCACTTGATGTTAAGTCTATGGAACAGATGAATAAGTGTTTTAGTGAAGCATTTTCAATAGATTCCAGCCTGTTGACTACATGACCAAAAGCAGGACAGATTGGTAGGAAGGACTTGAAAGTGAAGACTTCCAAGTATTTACCTCTCTGCAAAGGGGGCACTTTTCCTTGGGACTAGCTGCCTTCAATCCATCCACTATGGTCACTGATCCTGCCTTGCAAGCACGCATGTAGCAGAATATATGACCGCAAGTCAAAGACACTGGATCAAAAGCTGTATCCTGTTGGAGGAGAGCAGCTAATAAAAAGCTCAACATTATGAAAAGAGCAGCAGCTAATCTGATATGATGAATTTTACAATATTGATAGGACTTAAGGTAGAGTTTCTTCATAAGAATTATCAGCAAGAATCAAATGTCAATAAGAAAAAGCATAACGATAGTTACTCGTGTTAATGAAATAGCTGGCACGCTTATATGAGCTAATAAAGAAACTAACCAAGCACATCGAACAAGTCAAGTCCAGTTCAAGCTTGACTGAATCACAAGAAAGAGAAGGCTTTTCATCTTTGAATATGAGGGAACAGCCGTTGAACAATGCAGGAAGCATTCCTTGTATTGGCCTTGAGCTCACATACCCATGGTGATTGGAGAATCTCCAGGTTCCGTTCCTACGGTGCGCTTGAGACTTGAATGCTTGGCCTTGCTTGGAGCAGTGTATCTGTAGAAAAAATCAACAACCTGTAAGGCAATAATTTACAAAAAACAAATCAAAATACAAAATTAAATTACAAATAATTTGCAGTAGTCAATCTAAAAAATCATTACTAAATTATTAATTTGATAAAATAATGTATTTAGAAATATTTATATTTTATAATTATTAATATACTATTCGAGCCCGAATCAGAGTTCTATATTTCGTATCCGATCTGTTTTTTTTTTTTTTTTTTATTAAAGTAAACGGGCACGAGTCCTGATTCGAGTATCGAAATTATTTTTTAATCCAAATTCGAAAAAAAATTATTGAATCCAGATTGGATCCAAGTTGGGTTATAAATAAATAAAAAAGGATGATTGAAATTTTGACACTTCTCAAACGTAGATTGATCCAAGCTGGGCTTTGCGAGCTGGCCAATTCGCATTGAGGTTGGAGGTGCATTTTTATTTTTCCCTTTTTTTTACCGAGATTACGAGAATTGAAGAGCTAAATATATTTACTTTGAGGATCAATCACAGAGCGTTTGGTAGTGGAATCGAGAATTTGAGGCAACATGAGAGAGTTAATAATAGACGCTTGAAATAAGCAAGGATGGATGGGATGGTTGCACATTTTTCAAGATCAAAAGATTAACACGAATAAGAGCAATTCAACAAAAATATCATCATTTCATAGACGCCTTTGATATTTTGTCACGTAGCTTGTATTGACGCTTTGATATTACTTACAATCATCAAGGGGATTATGAAGTGAAATAATGCTAACACGCATAGGGCTTTAAGGTAGTTTACTCTTAAATGTTGGTTTTATATCACGTTAAACTAGTTTTATTCAGAATTACTAATTACGTAGGAGTGAAGTTTCTCCATCTCCAACTCTCTCCTATTCTATTGCAAGATATGCGTATTTTTTCTCGTACAATTTCTTGAACATTTGAATTTATGTTTGTTTGCACACCTAATATTTTGTGAAAAATTATTTTTCTTGCAATATAGATATATTGTTTTAATCACCTTTTTATATTTCAACCATCTTTCACATACATTATATTACAAAAAACTGATATAATATTTTTTTCGATAAAATTTTCAAATAATCTTCTGTTCAAAGATGCTGAATAAAATTTTCAAATAATCTTCTATTCAAAGACGCTTAATCCTCAAATTTTAAGGTACAAATTGATCCATACAGTTTAAAAAAACAAAGCTTTTTAAAATTTTTCTAAATCCTCAAATACACAAAAGTTTTTTCACAAAATTTTTTTAAAAAATACGCCTTCCAAATGACCCCAAAATTTGGGTCAAGTTTGCGTCTCATCCAACACAAGATTCATGCGCGGAAAACTGAAAAGTAAACAACGTACGTCTTGGAAAATCAATCACGAGATTCGTATCTATAGAAAGTAAACAAAGCAGGTTTTGGAAAATTGATCAAGAGATGCATTTGGTGATGGGTTACCATCAGGACATCTTCTCATTAACAGCAACAAAATTACTTTTTTCAACTCCAGTAATGGCTTTTGTTGAAATAATTAACCCTAATCCCAAATTAACCTCTAAAAACCGGCAACTCTTGAAGGTAATCCAGGGGCTTAACTACCCAACCCAAACCCCTCCCAGAACCGATGTGAAAATGGAGAGTGAAAATGGATGCTGAATTAGTGTACCTGTGTCTACTGTCTCCTATGTAAAACCGCTCGTTTGAGATAATCAACAGTTGGTATATAATTACTTTAATTTGAAGTTAAACCGATACTCAACTATAGTATTAATTGATACGCAGCACAAGGTATCTCAGGTTTACCCTAATTACTATGTGACAATGTTACATTTTGACACAAAAAAAAAAAAAAAAAAAACTATGTGACAATGTTTGAAGCACCAAGTACAGGAATGTCAATGGGTTGGATTCGGATGAGAATTGAAATTTTTGGATCCAATCCCATCTTTATGTGGTAGACCTATATTCGATTCGTATATTCGACGGGTCTTGACTTTAGAGGTTTAGAATCGGATCCGACGAGTCTCAAATTGGATTTGAGTCTACTCGAAAAAAAAAAAGATCCAAAATAAATCAAAAACCAATCACAAATCAAATCTCCCAACTTAAATAAATCAAATTACAAAATTAAATTACAAATAACTCTCAATAGTCAATTTAAAACTAACCACAAATCAATCTACAGAATCATTACTAAATTATTAATTTGGTAAAAGAATGTATTTAGAAATATTTATATTTTATAATTATTAATATATTGTTCGAGTTCGAGTTAGAATCCTATATTCCGTATTTGATCTGTTTTTTTGTTAACGTAAACAGGTACGAGTTCGGGTTCAAGTATCGAAATTATTTTTCAATATAAATCCGAAATAAATTATCGAGTCCGGATTGAATCCGAAACTAAACCCGACCCATTGACACCCCTGACCAAGTGGTACCTGCCAACACACGCTGTACTCTCTGCAAGTATTATAAAACCCTCTCCATGGTTGGATGTTGAAAAATCCATGAAAGCGTTTAAAAATCAACGATGTGATAATAATCATAAAAATTTCTTTGCTTTTAGTTTCAGTAATATAGGGGGTGGTGCCAATGGGAGAGTCGTAGTTGGCGAAGAAGACCACAAAAGTTAGAAAAGCAGTCAATTGATTCCTGGATTCTACTACAGCCGGTAACACTGACGAAAGGAAAGTAATGGACAGGAGAAAACGAAAGTAGAAAAGTAAAAGCCGGACATTAAACGAAAAGGAGCAAACGTCTGCGCTGTTTGGAGCCTTCATGCATGGGCGGGGGAGTAGCATTCGGTGACCCCCCGAGTCCTCGTTTTGCACGCATAGGAGTTATGAACAAGCCAACAATCTACTGTACGATACTACCACAAATTCCACAAGATCATAACAGTAGTAGTAGTAGACATACCGTTGAGTCTTTCTTACATGGAAAATTCGCATCATAATAGTAGTGTATTATCGACCCTGTATGTTCTTGAGTTCTTCTTTTTTATTTTTATTTTTTGTAGTGTCCTTTTTAAATTGTTTCCGAATGGCAAATTGTGTAGTATTTGGGAAGAGTTTCTCTCGGCAATGGTAAGTTACAATTGTTAAAACAATTTATGGTGGTAGACTTTTCATTGAATAGTTGTGATAGAAAATAAGGCCTTGTTTAGATAGCAATTTTTCAAATGCTACGTTTTTCTGAACACATTTTTCAATCATCTTTTTACCTCACTTATATCAAATCGCTATAGTATTTTTTCTACAAAAAAAATTTAGAAAAATACAAGCCAAGCAAAGCCTACAACTTGGTGAGGACACTTGTAATGCATTCTCGGATGTGCATAGCAGGGGATGCAAAGAGAAAAATTTGTCAAATGGGTCCCTAACATTTACACAAAAATTTTTTAGTCCCTAACATTTAAAAGCAGTTAGAATAGTTTTTAACATATAAATTATTATCCATTTCGGTCCTAATGCTCATATTTGCTCATTTTTCCGACTAAAAATAACACGCCTCTCTCACGTGAGCATATTTTCAATGGCAAAACTAAAAAACATTATTGTTTTCAGTGTAAATGTGAAATTGAAGCTTCTGTTGTTGCTGCTTCAGCATATTTTTCTCAAATTGAAAAGCACTCGTGTCAATTTGAGGCTTGATCACCCTAGCGGTGTGGCTGCTGCTGTTGATCCCCTAAGAAACTACCATCATTAAACCCAATGAGCTTGATTTCATCACTTTTCCGTTAAAGTTGTGTGATTCGACCGTCAAGGAACCACCACCACCCTCTGTCTAGTAGGTTGTGCAGGATGCGAAACTCGGGCATCAAGATTGTGGGTTTTGGTGGGCTGCAGAGAAGAAGAGAAAAGAGATGACGTGGAAAATGATTTGGGTTGAGGAAGCGAAGCAAACAAAGATGACGATGGTTTTGGAAGCGATGCCAAAAGTCTTGAACTTTCCAAATTTTTTAGCAATTGTTGCCCATCACTCTCTTCTTGAAGTTCATTAGATTTATGTGAATTCAGGGTTGAGGAAGACGACAAGACGAGAGGCCTTGGGGGATGGGATTGGGGTGGGGGAAGTGGAACGGAGATGGATGAGGAAGAAGAAGATGATGAAGATTTTGGGGTTGACAGTGAGAAAAGAAATCCAGCGGATCTGGGATTTGAGAGCTGTGGTTTATTTTCTTGTTCTTGATCTCGTTCTTCGTCGGAAGAGGAGCAGCTCGCTAGCAAAAAGTCCATGACCAGAAGCAAAAGGGGAGAAAAGCCCTAATTTCAGAACAGGGAAAGAAAAATATGTGAAAATGTTGTCCTTGGAAAGAGGAGAAAAGCTTGTATTTATCAGTTTTACCTTTGAAAATATGTCCATGTGAGAGAGACGTGCTATTTTTAGTTGGAGAAATGAACAAATACGAGCATTATAAAAAAAATGGATCATAATTTATATGTTAAGGACTATTTTGGCTGATTTTAAATGTTAGGGATTAAAAAAAATTTTATGTAAATATTAGGGACCAATTTGACAAATTTATCTGGAGAGAATTCACGGCTATTTATTCATCACAGTAATTTTTATTATTTTAAATGGTGTTTGGATTACAATTTTTTATTAAATTTTTTTTATATTTTGTACGAGCATAAATTTTAATTATCTATTTAATTCACATGTATGAAATCGTTAATATAGTAAAATTTTCTATAAAATCTCAAAAAAAAAAAAGTAATATTAGCATTAAACGCGTGGTGTTCGGTGCCACGGCCTAAGGCTAACTACCCAAGGTCATCTTGTGGGCATGGCTTTGCGGGTCAAAGATTGCAATCCACTTAAGAAATGACGTGAGCTATGACGACTACACTTTCAGCACAACACGAGGAACGGGCGACGTCGCATGGAAAATTGGAAATTGGAATTGATTGCTTGATGCAGTTTGTCTTTGTCCTCCTCCTCCTGTCTCTGTACTTTTTATTTTATTACTTTTCCGGAAGCAGA